CAGCTGGTGGTCCTCGGCCCCTTCCCTCCCCGCTCAGGTCCCGCGCCCTGATTCCCCGCTGAGATGACCAGCTCCGCTCCAAACTGTTGCTGCAATGGCCTCGTCTCCCTCCCACCCTCCCTCCTCCCGCTCCCCGCTCCCCCGCCCCTGCTGGCTGTGGGAACCTGACGTCAGAATCCGAAATGGGGGCGCGCCCCTGGGTTCTGCAGGCTGCACCTGGGGACCAAGGGGGCAAGGGTCCCCCGGGAGCGCTGACCTCGGGATGCTGGAGCGCACAGCCGGGCTCCGGCGCCCCCACCAACCACCCGGTGAAACCCAGGCGTGCGCCCTGACCCGGAATCCAATGGTGACCTCCTGGCTCATGGGTGGATGCTCAACCACTGAGCACCCCGCCCGGGGGTGGTGGGGGGGTAACCCTTGTTTTGCACTGCACCGGGAACACTCGGAGTGAGCTGTGCATTTCGCCTGCTATACTCTCATCTGTTCTCCCCGCGTGAGTCGGAGGAAGGACAGGTGCCACTTCGCCCCTGTTCACCGCCCCCCTTCCTAGCTTGGCTCTCAGGCCACCCCTTTGCTCAGAAGCGCCCCTCGGTGCTCTCTGTGGCCTGCACACTGTGTTCAACCTCTAGCGTGGCATTGGGCTGCCGTGGTCCACCCTTCGCCAGCCTGTCCACCTCACTCCCCGTTCTCCCCGAGCGGACCCCACATCCAGACACCCCAGCCTGCGGGGCGTTGCACAAACATGCTCTCCTGCAAGCAAGCCTTTCCCGGGCTCTTCCTTTTCCCATTCTCGAAGTTTCCAATGAAAAGCAACTTCCTGATGAGGCTTCCTCTGTCTTTCCCACCTCTGTTTTAACAATATATATATATATTTTATTAATTTCGGGAGGAAGGGAGAGGGAGAGAGAAATAGAAACATCAGTGATGAGAATCATGGACCGGCTGCCTCCTGCATGTCTCCACTGAGGATCCAGCCCACAACCCGGGCATGTGCCCCGACCAGGAATCCAACGGGTGACTTCTTGGTTTCTGGGCTGAAGCTCCACCACTGAGCCACACGCAGCCAGGCCTGTGAGTCTATTTTTAACTAATTTATTGGGGTGACGTTGGTGAATATGGCCGTACAGGGGTCAGGTGTGGGTTCCTGTGTCATCAGGTCCACACATGCGCTGTGTGCCCACCGCCCACAGTCAGATCTCTTCCCGTTGCCCTCCGTGAGGGCCCTCTTCCCGCGGCGGCTCTTTCCGACTGTCTGTGGACGTGGTTTGTAGGTCGGGTCGCATTCCGCCTTGATTGTCTTTCGTTTTTCTTCCCCAACAATATTTTGCTTCTTGGGAGTAGGCGCCACCTGTCACTCGTCTTTCTTTAACCACTTCAACCTCAGCACAGTCTTTGTACACACGGAGCCTCAGTGAGGATTTAGGGAGCACAGACCTGTTATGATCGCTACTCTCTCCCACAGGGTGAGGCTGGCCTGGAGAAACAGGCTGAGTCAGCAGCACGGATTACTCAGGGCTTTGTGGTCCCGGAGTCTGTTGGGTGAGTGCTCACTCTCTGTCTCCCAAAGCTCTGAGCACACGGCACCTTTCACCGGAGGTGAGAAGGGAGTCCGACACATGAGAATGAGCCCGATTTTCATTACCCAGTTCCCGCGATTCTCCTCTGATGGTGCCTTGGGCACAAGGCGTGTGTGTAAGAATTATCCAGTTCTCGTAATGCTCCTCTGATGGTGCATTGGGCACATGGAGTGTATAAGAATGAGTCCCCCAGGAGAGTTTGCAGCATCACTTGCTGGGCTGTGGGAGATGCCGCGAGGGTCCTGGGAAGGAGGGGCCAGGACTCGGAGCCCTGCTTTCCTGGGTGGGAGTGAAGGGAGTCTCCGGGTGACCGAGTGGGGCCTGGACAGGAGGTCTCCTGGCGGAGGAGACACAGAGGCTCACTAGAGGGACTTCTGGCTTGGTGACCCCGACTCACCATAATGGGGTGCAGGAGGTGTTAGGAAGGACCAGCGCCGGAGGCATATGTAATTGAGGTGGGAGCCTGGCATATGTAACTGAGGCTGGAGCCATTCAGGCCCTGGTCCTGGCGGGTGCCGTGCCTGCAGGAAGGATGGATGTGCATGCGATCGGGAGGGCGAGAACTCGGACCCTGTCGTCCCAGCGTGGGTGGGAGAAGCACAGCTTTTCTGTCTCTCTTCTGGCACAGGGTGTGGGGACCAGTTAGCCGCTGGGGTCCTTGGGCGGTGCAGCAGGGATGGTGAATGACAGCTTATAGGCCCAATCCAGGCTGCTCTTCTAACTGGTGTCATCAGAACACCCGTTTCTCCCTGTAATGTCTGGGGTTACTTGGACAGGACATGGGCAATTGAGTAGCTGTGACAAAGAGTGTATGGCTGGCCCGGCCGGTGTGGCTCAGTGGTTGAGAATTAACCCATAAACCAGGAGGTCACGGTTCAATTTCTGGTCAGGGCACATGCCGGGTTGTGGGCTCAATCCCCAGTGTGGGGCATGCAGGAGGCAGCTGATCAATGATTGTCTCTCATCACTGATGTTTCTCTCTCTCTCTCCTCCCTTCCTCTCTGAAATCAATAAAAGATATTTTTTAAAAAAAGATTTGACAGACTTGAAAACTCTTCCCTAATATGCCATAAACTGCAGTAGAGTAATATTTTTAATACCGCATTTAAATTTCAGACATCCATTTGCCTTCGCAAATGTTATTCAGAGAAAATTTTAAACTTTGAAATGTCATAAAATGGCAAGAGCCACATTACACAAATATCTTTAATTTGTTCAATCTGTGCTAAGTTCTCTCCAAGTTATTTAAGATGGCCCGCCAATGAGAGTAAATGAACCAATATTTCACGGGAAAGCAGCTGGAAGCTGGGTCTCCATGTCATTTGAACACGGACACCAACTAGTATTTGATTAGAGAGGAAAATGCTGGACTTTAATGAAAATTACAGTCAGTCCCATTGTTGACCAGTTACCCATCATGGCAACACAATCCTCAAAAGTCTGTACGCTGAGCCCTGGCCGGGTGGCTGAGCGGGTGGGGGCCCTGCCCCATCCACCAAAAGATGTTGAGTTGGATTCAAGAGAAATGTATCTGATATAGGAGTAAAGGACACCCTGTAAAAACTAGAATTATTTATTTTTGGAATTTGCTCCTTAATGTTAAGTGAAAATGTCTATGTTTGTGCCAAATCTAGTTTAAAGGCCAAAATACTTTAAACTATGAAACACATGAACAGAGAAATGGACACAAGAGTCATGACTCATACATTGCTTAATGAATCTTTACGGTTAAAATTTATTATGTTTATAATTATGAACCCGAACAGCGTTAACTCCACCCAAGGAGGATAAATCCATCCTAACGAGTTAAAGCCAGTTGTTCACATCGCACACGTCACATCTTAGGTTGCATTTTGGGGTCTGATACTACACAGCGCGAGTCGGGGGCGGGGGGTGGTGACCAGTTATGTCCGTCCTCCGTGATGGCACGTCCCTCGCGCTCTGGGACCCGCCTTGAGCGGCGGTGTGGACGGTGTGGACGGTGTGGATGGTGTGGACGGTGTGGATGGTGTGGACGGGCCGTGGACGGGCCGGGGCGAGCCCCCGGGTTGACGAACATCACGGCCTCCCCTGCGGTGTCAGCCCGGCTCCATCGGCACTGAAGACAGACCCGCGCGGGAGCCCAGCCCAAACCGTCAGACACGAAACTGTAGGCCGGACCGGTGGTTCCGCTAAACACTCAGCGATTCATTCCACAGCCCGTGTCAGCGGCATGGCTTCTGCTGGGACTCTGGCTGTCGAACCTTCTTTCCTTCTTCCCCGAGCCCAGCTGCTCTGGCGATGCCAGGCGGTTGTCAAACAGCCCTCAGAACACATTCCTTTTCGGCAGAACTCAGCCAGACGCCGGGCTCCTGCTGCTCGGACCTGAGAGGTCTGACGGGCGGCCTTGGAATGAGACGGGATTCCGATATCTGAGCGCATTTTTATTCCCAGTCGTTTCTGTCATGTCCTGATCCCTTCTGTTCAGAGCAGCTACTACACAGGGCGGCAAAGGCAGGTGTACAATTCCGAGCACAAAAAACCCTGTTCTTTCTGGTATTATTGTTATTAGTGATTGTATTATTTCCCAAGCAAACAACTGTAAACCTACGTTTCCCCACCCTGTGTTAGACGCTAACTTACGTGGAGAGCCGATGAAACACATTGCAATGAGCCCATCAAGCAGTTCTTGGTGTAGAAAGGGATTGAGAATGAGTGGGAGAAAGCTGATCATGTTCCCTGTCTTCCCCACCACCCTTGGTGTCCCCGGCAAGCACAAAGGAAGAGTGAAAGGTCCTGGAAGAAGAGAGGATTAGAAAAGGGAAGCGAAGTGAGAGCTGTTGGTGGTGGATCGCCATCTCCTCCCTTCCTCTCTGACTCCTCTCCCGCCAGCATGACACTCCTCTCCCGCCTGCACTGCCGCCCAGGCAGCTCCAGGCCCACAGGAGCGCAGGCGGCCTGGCCGCGTAGGAGCAGAGGGTCCCGCAAAGCGTTGGTTGGTTCGGCTGCTCTGAAACCAGCCTCTTCCCCGGATGCCGGCCCAGTCACCACAGCTCTGCCTGCAGCGCCCCGGACGCACCGCCCTGGGTCCCACAGAGGCATCTGCGCCGAATTCTGTTACTGTGTCCCTGGCGCGGGCTCTGAGATGC